GACATTACTGTGAGGTGTCCTTCTGGATCACGGATGAACCCGAGAGAAATCTCACACTCGGGCAGGAAGGAAGGGGTCCCGGCTCTTGTTGCATTGCAGTTGACCATAGTGAAGAAGTAGGTGTTATATATGCAACAGCTGGAGAAACGCGGTCATACTCCCTTGACGTGATGCGCAGAGTCCGTGGACAGGCCCTCTTTTCCCTGTTCTCGGGGGAACCAGAACCCAAGGTGCTAATTAGCTTTAATCATTATCGTGACTGTACTTTGGCAATTGTAATCAAGGACTCGATGTCTGGTGGGGCTGAAATGAAGCAAAGGAACGGTTTGGATGGAAGAGCATCTGGGAGGGATGCAAAGCCTTGTTCCTTGATTCTATTTCCTGGAGCTTCGTGTCGTATCTCGCTGGGAACACCCCTCCGCACCCGAATTTAACACACCCTCTAACTGGGAAAATTTCCTTAGTTTTATCGATGAAACATCTTGTTTGGCTAATTAGCTTTTCCATATCCTATTGAGCTGCATATTCTCTGACACGACCGGGACAAGAAACCGCCCAACCAAATGCCAGAGGAGAGAGGGGAAGGGTCTGAGGCCGAACAATATGAGAAATACCTGCCAATCATCGAAGTTCCAACAGACGCCAGGCCCTGTGAGCTGCTCTACGTAGCTCACACACATCCCTGCAGCCCGAGACAGGGCTCATCACACCCATTCGCTTCACGGGTGAGGAACCTGAGGCCACGGGGCTGGAGAATCTTCCCAGGATCACGTGCTGGTAAGTGACGGCGTGGGGACCAGAGCCCTGGTCTGAATTCCTCTCGAGCCCACGCTGTTCCCACCCACCCCAGCCCGTGGCTGACCTTCTGACTGGCGATTCACTGCTCTTCTCAGTGTCACACGGTGTCTTTCAGTTGACAAAAAGCAGGCCCAAGAAAGGAAGGTGCCAAGGAGAAGCAGAGACAGTGTGGGGCTCGTCTGTGGCTTGTTGAGAGCTGACACCGCCAGGGGCCGGCATTTCTGGCCAGTCCCGGCACCTTCCCGTGTGACGGCGCCCTGTCCCTGCTCCTGCCCTGGGGCCCTCCTGTCCAACGGGAACCTGGCCGGCTGAGCTGCTCATGGCTGAGCCACGGGGAGGGAGGGACTGAGACTGCCTGGGACTGACTGTAAGGCCCCAGTGCCTACTGGGATAAGGCCCCTGCAGGAGCCTCCTCAGATACTGGAGGGAAGTTAACGCTGGCAGACACCCCGAGACCCTGGCGGCAGCGAGGGAGGGGAGCGGCTGGGGGGCCTCTGGGCTGGGGGCATCAGGGCGCGGAAGCCAAGGGCAGGGGCTGGAGGGCGAGGCTGGCAAAGGCAGGCCTTGGACGTCGCCAGGGCTTGTGCCTGCCCAGCTGAAGGGTCCCGAGACCCGGCTGAGGAAGACCCCACGGTGCCACACAAACCCACTGCCGGGGCCCGGCTGGCACCTGGCAGGGAGGGGGACCAGGAAGGAGGCAGTTCCTACGGGACCCAGGGGGCGAGGGAGGGCCCGAGGAGGGGGGCAGCAGGCAAGGCCACACAGGCAGGCTGGGCCCAAGGAGGGCCCAGCCTTTGGGCCCCTTCTGAGGAGCCACCGACGGCCTCCACCACAATTCGCAGCCTCCGAGGTCATGTCCCTACAGGAGGAACTGACCTGAAGAATGCTTTGTAAACCAGTTTAGAAGCATAAAGACCAGGGAGCAGGCCCGAATCTAGGCCCGGGAGCTCCATCCAGGATGCCAGTCCTTAGGCTGAAAGGCACCTCGGGCGATCCTCCTGCACACCCTCTTAGCTCTCCCCTTTCAGAAATAGGGCAGTGGCACTCACAGAGGGCAGATGACCCTGCTTAGTGGCAGAGCTGGGACAGGGACCTAGGATCCTCGCAGACGGGCCTTTCCAAGGTGCCACTCTGTCCGCTACACAGTGACTATGAAGGACAAAGTCGCCCACAACGGCCAGAGAACGCGCATCACCAAACCCACCGTCCTATCCTCCCACCTGCGGTGAAGACGGACGACTCTCACTCGGGTTTCGGCGCGTCCGACACCCAGACCCTCATCTACTTCCAAATGCACGTGGACGGGGGCTTCCCCCGGTCACGTCTAGGTCGGCAAGTAGGAAATTTCCTTGGGACTGAGTCCGTGTCACGCAGGCCCGTTCAAAAGCGTCGAAGCTGAAAGCAAACAAAATCAGTCCATGTATCCTCAAGGTAACAGCGGGGACAGGGCCCCGGGGGTGGGGGGGGGAGGGGGGGCAGGGGCGGGCGTGGGGAAGGAGAGCAGGGCTGGCCTGGGAGCGCACCAGTGAAATGCCTGCTTTCAATGGGACAGGCTACACGCCGAAGCCCCAGATCAAGTCCTTCAAAGGGCAAGTACCCACGGAGACCCAAGGTGGACGTGGGAGGCCAGGATCGGGGGGAGCAGAAGCCAAACCACCCCACTGCGGAAAGGAAACAGGGCTTTCGAGGCAGCCTCCAGGGAGGCTGAATCCGACGGTCTGGGAAGGCGATGGGAAAAGGACGCACGCAGGTGTTCCAAAAGTGAGCGCTCTTGGGCCATGAGAAGGGCTTCTACGGGAAGAAATGGACGCTGAAGACAAGCCCTCTGTGATCCGCACAGGGATGGGGTCTGGGGGCAGGCAGAGCCCAAAAGGAGGCTCGATGCCCAGCGGAGGGCACGTGGCTATGCCCTCCCACGCGGCATCGTGGGCAGGGCTGTGTCTGAGGTGCTTGGGGAACACTCGAGTTGAATGTGAGGTCGCGCACAGCCCTACTCTGGGGACAGCTTGACCTGGGAGGCAGGAAATCAGGACCCTTTGTTTGGGCCCATCTGAGCGGGACCGGCCAGCTGGCAGGAACAGCTGCAAGCGACCAGAGCCGGAAGGGGGATGGGGGTGGGGGGGGTGGGCACCGACTCAGGCTAGGCCAACCAGCCCGCTAGGGAGCCCCATCTTCTGGGAGGGACAGTCGCCAGGGGCCCACGTGATCCCTGTGGTCTCAGTGGCAGCCAAGCTACGCCTCGCCAGGGCCTGGCCCTTGAGCACATCGGAAGCCAGCATGAAGGGATGGGAGTGGAGACAGGATCACGTTTCTCAACCCATCCGGGGCCTGGCCCCTTGAAACAAGGTGCCTGGCGGCAGACGGAAGTCTTTCCCGGGAACTTGAACCACACTTTTCGAGGCTTTTAGAAAAAAAGACACTTGGCCAGGGCTCCCTCTCCAGACCGCCTCGGTGACATCACGTGACAATAAAGAAGACTGCGACTTGAGCGGCTGGCTGCCCCACTACCGAGATTCTAGAGTCTTGCGGACAGTATTTACTGGGCATCCCCGCTCTGGTCCAAGGCATTTCTGCCCTGAGAGTTCAGTCATACGGTCTCGGGTGGAGAATGCTCCCAATCCAGACTGGCTCCATGGCTAGTCAGAGCAGCGATGAGCTGTGTACAGCCATGCTGGGCCCATCGGCTGACGCAGAGCCAGCAACGTGGGTCCCCTCTCGTGCGTCCGCGCATCCCAACGTGGATTCACGGGAGAGTTCGGAGAAGCAGGGCGACCAAGCCGAGAGCCCAGATCCCGGCTCCCAAGACAACCCGCCACCACAGGGCGCAGACTACGGTGTGGCCAGAGTATTCTTCAGCTCTCCCTCCCAAGAAAGCTCTGGACGATGGCGGAGGAGCCCGCCTTCACCTCTGTGCGCTGGAATGACAAGGGAGATATGGTGATCGTCGAGGAAGACCTCTTCCAGAGGGAGGTTCTTCACCGCAGAGGCGCAGACAGGATTTTCAACACAGACAGCTTGACGACTTTCATCCGCCAAATGAACCGGCACGGATTCAGCAAAATACGCCTGAGCAGCCACTCTCCAGGGAAGAAGAGGCTGATGGTAAAGTAGAAAGCCCTTCCGCTGCCCACGTTCTCTTGTTATTCGAACACCTCCTGGGGAGGCCAGATGGGCCACGTGCTGAACGGGTTTCATTTCCGAGAATAAGTTTCCTCAAGTGAGAAGGTAGTTAAGGAAAGATGAGAAAGTAGAGCCTGTGGTATTCAGCCACAGCCCCTTAGAGGGGACCTGCAGGTGTGCCTACAGACCCTCTCGAGAGGCCACGAGATGTCAGGTAGCGACAGTAACACCTCGACCGAGGCTCGCCTCGGGGAGCTCTAGGGAGCGCACACTCCAGGGCGGAATAACCTGCCAGGAACTTAAAGAGACCTTTTCTCCACAGTCAGATAAGACCATTATGAGGGACGGGGGTGGGCGGGGAGGAGTGGGTATTTTCTCCCAGAATGGCTAAAGTGATTCGTTTTATTTCAGATCTTCTGCAACTCCAACTTTCAGAGAGACAAGCCTCTGCTCATCGAGAACATTCAGAGAAAATGCAACCTGGGAGCAACTGATCAGCCCGGGACCAGCGCAACAGCCCCGAAGGGGAAGAAGCCGGTGGCTGCCACTAGACGCTCCCCACAAATCCCTTACAACGATTCCACCACCCAGAAGAAAGCCCCAGGTGCTCAGGGGCCCAGCGCTACCCAGCCTCTCCTGTCCTCTAGCACGTGCTCTACGAGCGGTGGAGCGGGATGGGCCAGGGAACACCACGCCCCCAGTGAGCAGGGCGGCCTGAGCGGGCAGGGCACTCCCTGGAATGTCACTTCTGTGCCCCCGCTATGGCGCCAGGGAACTGCCCGCCAGCCCCACGGTTTACCCGGCTTATGGCTCGGAGATGTCTCTGTACAACAGCTGTCTCTCCCTCCTGCCGGGGGCCCTTTTAGCTACGTCCCCAAACAAGATCCCTGAGGTGGACGAGGAGTAGGGGGGCTCCTCAGACTGCAGGCGTGCTCTCCGCCAACAGTGCAAGGACCACTGTGATCCCTGAGCTCGCAGGCCCCTGGGGACACACAAAAAGCCCCATCTCATAACCAAGAACCTACTTTTGTCTCTAATAAAGAAAAGCCAAAGTCCACGGGAGCAAATGAAGAATCGAACGAGAAGTGCGAGTCTTGTGTCCTTTCTAACTGTCCGTACTAGTCACACATCTCAGTGGACGGGCCCGACGAGGCTGGAAACCCACAGCCCCGGCAGGCTTTGGTCCCCGCCGCCCCCTTTCGTTTGAAGCCGCAGCATTTCCCACGCTCAGCCACGGACGTGGCTCGGGAGCGCTGAGGCCAGCCCAGGACAGGCTGGTCCCTGGGCCTTGCCTGCTAGTCAGGAGGCAGCACAGCCTGGCTCCTGACCTCAGGGGTGTCACCTTCCATTAGTCATGCATCCTGAAGCAGAAGGAGCCTCCTCCTGGGTCCCCCTACGATGCCAGAAGTTTCTGACCCGCAGCTGAGCGTGTGTCCAGCCCACCATCCAGGGGCCTCCCAAAGAGGCCCGCCGGAAAGGAGGGCCATCCCACCCACCAAGGTAGGCGTGCACACTGCCGTCTGCCTCAGAAGAGACGGGCCCTTCCCAGCCGACACCTGGGGGAAAGCCCAGCACCTTCAGAGGTGACAACCCCTAGAAAGCTTGCTGACAAATGGCCCCAAACCCCACAGAGAAGTAAGAGGTTTCCACAAAGCGAGCGCCAGCCCTTTTCACTTTGCCGTCAGAGCTGTATTTAGGAGCCTGTCTTCGGACGTGAAGTGGCCGGGCAGCACGTCTAACACACACGCTTCGTGAGCCAAGGGACGCTTTACAACAGGGCCAGGGTCACCTGCAAGGACAGACCGCGCCCTCTTTCTGGGCCTGCGGTCCTCTCCCGCGTGCACGAGGCCCGCCACCGGCCTTCCCCCATCGTTCGTTCCCCAGACGCGGTCCAAACATCTGGGAGTTCTGACCAGGCCAAAGAGGGGAAAACGCTAACCGGTCCCCTCAAAACACATCTCTCTCAACCACCCAGAACCAGTAGGGCCAAAACGAGTGGCACTGCCATCTTTTCCTAAAGGTCAAAGTCCTCGAGACTGTGTCGCTGAGCCCAGGGCGGCATCGCACGAGGAGAGTCCCAACCCCTGTCCCTGCACCAGGTGGGCACGTCTGCTTCCGTGAACAGCACGGAGCGGGCAGCGCTCCCCGGGGCAGGGCCGATTCAGACCGAACCAGACGTGCACGTCCAGGGCGTGAAGGCGAGTGGACGGTGGCACAATGAGCCGGTCTCTCGGTCACCTTCCTCTCGAGAGCCCAGTCTGGTCAGGCCTCCTGCCCAAAGGGGATCAGGTGCTCGGGGATGTCCACCTGGAAGACGTCCTTCCCGCCTCTCCCGGGGACAGGCTGCAGCAGCCAGCGGGGGTTGGCAAGCGCAGTCAGGTACTTCTGCTGCAGGTTGGGCAGCAGGGCTTGATTCTCCAGCTCCGCAACCTCGTTGGGACCTAAGTTTTCCGGGCACAGCGAAGTGTCCCCAATGTCAACCAGCCCTGTGCACAAAGACACAAGCACACAGATGGAGAACAAGGTGATTCAAAGTCACGACCGCTAGAGACCAAGACCACGTCATCGAGGGGACCCGGGGTGAACTGGGTCCCTCTGGCCGAGCACTTCGCACCCGCCAACCTCGGTTCAGGGAATTGGGGGCGAGGCCGAGGGAGGGAGGGAGGGAGGGAGGGAGAGCAATGAAAAGGAGAGGCCTGGTCCCCCACAACCCCACCAAGGCCCGACCGCTGCAGGCAGCAGGTACAGGTCAGGAGGGCCCCGGGCCGCCGCTGCGGGGGGGCCTACGGGCAATCAGGTCCCTGAGCGATCCACCGGGGGCCAGCGGTTGATGCGGGACCTGCCCCCGCCGGGGGCTTTAGGGGACTTCCTCAGGATGCGGCGGGCAGCGGGGGTGAGGTGGGCGCGTGAAGCCGGGCGGGCAGCCCGAGTCCCCAGGTCCCCCTCACACGCAGCTCTGGCTGCCGTGCTGCCTCCCGCGGGCTCTGCCACGGCGCGCACACGGACACACACGGAGGCGAGCGCCACGGGCAGAGCCGGACCCGCCTCTGCCTCTCAGAGCACAAAGGGGGACTGAGGCCCAGAGTGGCGGGGAGGGGACCTTCCCGGCCCCTCCGAAGGCGAGGTGCCTCAGGAAAACGAACCCTAACCCCACACCGACCGGTTCAAAAGAAAACGAGACGCCAAAGCCCCGGGTGAGACCCTGGGGGGCAGCCCCGGGAGGCGATCGTCACTTGCCGGCTATCACTCCGCGGCCGAACTTCTCCCCGTCCCGCAGCAAGGCCTGGATCTGCGCGGGGCTCATCCCCAGCCTCCCGGCCAGCAGCTCCCTCCAGGCCGCGTCCTCCCAGTCCCTGTGCGCGATGTGGACGGCCAGGGTGCGGTGCCGCTGGCCGCTCAGCACGGGCCGCCACCGCGTCTCCAGGGTCTTCACCCCATTTAAGACGAAACCCGCATAAGGCTGCCGGAAGGACAGGCAGCCGAACTTCATCTCCCAGAGCTCCCAGGGCCTCACGCGCCTGTGGAAACACAGAACCGGAACGGTCAAGCAGCCTGACGTGCCGGCCTCCGAGCTCATGACCCGTGGGCCTGACCTCAGCCCCGTGGGCCCCCCGGGCGCCAGCCCCTTCCATCCGTCTCCGCGCCCGTCAGCTGACAGGGGGTGCCGACCGGGGGGATCCGTCCATCAGATGGAGTCCGCGGGGACCTCACAAGGGAGGCCGGGACAGCGAGAGAGAGGCGTGTGGGCAATTCCACGACAGAGGGCACTGGGCCCCGGGCGGCAGAGAGGAGGGAGGGAGGGCCCCTTGGCTTCACAGCCCAGTGGCCGGGCTCTGGCCCTCTCCCGGCACAGACAGGGACAGTCCTGGGCCTGGCTTCTCCCCTGCCCCCGGCCCCGCAGCTCCCTGGCCCTGCCGCTGCCCATGCTCTGCGGATCCCCCATCTTACCCAGGGCTGCTGAGTGCAAATCCTTGGCAACCAACCTTGGCTCGGCCCTGGGGACGGCCTGGCTCTCACGTGGCCCTGCCAGGTGTCTCTTCCCCGCGCGCCTGGGGAGCCACCCTCCTCCCACCCCTTCCCGCACCACCGCTTCCACCCCGGCCCGGAGCCCGAGAAAGGATACGTGACGGCAGGAACTACCGGCACTGGTGCGCGTTCCGTCTCCACGCCAGGACCTGGGACGGGCACCATCCAGGGACCATAGAATTCAATCCTCAAATAACCCGGGAGGTTACCGTCACCCCGCTCTGCAGCTGAGGAGGCGCCGAAGGAGAGACAGCGCATGGTTCCAGGGGACCTGACTCCACGCGCCCCCGTCCTCGCCTGCTTTCCTTGTACCTGGGTGGTGGGGGGAGGGTCCCTGCTCGCTGAGGACAGAGGAGCAGGGGAGCCGCGGGCCTGAAAGTCAGCCGGGTCACGGCACCGCACGGAGCCTCCACTTCCACGTGGCTGTGAGGACGGGGGACAAGGCCGCAAAGGCAGCCAGTCCAGGACCTTCCAGGGCTTTCCTTCCCCGAGCAGAGCGGAGACACATTTCTCTCCAGGGCCCATGAGGCCCCACATGGTCTGGCTCCTCCCCCTGGCTGCCTGCTCTCCTCGCCCCTGGATTCACTCCCTGCAGCCATGAAGGCCTTCCTTCCATCCTTGGAACGTTCCACGTGTGCTCCTACCTCAGAGCCTTTGGAGAGTGGTAGGGGTCACACCGTGCCCCTGAAATTCACGTGCTGGAATCTCAACCCCAAGTTCCTCAGAGTGTGACCCTACCTACAAAGCAAAGGTCTTCACAGGGGTGATCAAGGTCCGATGAGCTCATTAGGGTCGACCCTCCTCTAACAGGACTGATGTCCCCACAAAAAGGGGCCAGTTAGAGACAGAGCGGCACACAGGAGAGCCAGCAGAGCCCCGGGAGTGAGGGGGGCGGGATGGGACAGATTCCCTCCACAGCCCCCACAAGAGCCACCACCGGCGGCACCTAGATCTCGGGCTTCTGGCCTCCAGAACCGCAAGGCAATACGTTCTGTAGTTCAAGCCACCCAGACCGTGGGACTCTGACACGACTGCCCGGGCGAGCGATCACAGAGGGTCAGCCCTGTCCTGGACACCTCTCCACGCGGGGGTGGGGGATGACTTCTCCGCTCACAGCACCTCGGGAACACTGCTTCACGTCTGGACGTCTCCCTCTGTCCTATTTTCACCGCCCACACGGTACCCCGTCGTCGGCTGTCCCACAGGTTACTGACTCTTCCCCCGCCGATGGGGACTCCCAGACTGCTTGGCACTTTCTGCCCCTCTAGACACTCAACACGACCACACACTCGCTAACTGAAGCCCCGGGCCGGAGGAGGCCCGCGTCACACGGCACACATCCCAGCAAACGCCAGCAAACGGCCTTCCGCAAAGGCTCCCCCACGTACACTCTGCCAGCCACGGGCGAGGCTGCCGTGCCCTCACGCACTGGCGGGCCCCCGAGCATCATCACCCCGCTTAACCTCTGCCAACCTGATGGGTGACAAAGGGTCGCCCTCCTCACTGCGTTTGGGTTAGTTACGAGGGAGGCTGGCCAGTCCCTGGGGCCCGGCCGTTTCTCCGGCTCCTACTGGGGTGTGTGACTGGATCCCAGGCTCGCCCGCGGTTTCCGCCACTCAGCTTCTCAGCCAGCCCCTTCCTCACGGGCGCCACCAGATCACAACCACGGGACCCGAACCGTGCGGGCGGAATCCCTGCGGAGAGTCCCTCGGGAAGAAGGCGGCTGAGTGCCCGCCTACCTCTCGACGCAGAGGGTGCCTGCTTGGTGGCCAGAGGAGAAAACACTCTTCCACTTGTCTGGGTGTCTTCACCTGCACGAGAACCAGAGGGACAAGGAGAAAAGTCATCAGCCACAAGACAGCAATGCCGGCCAAGGAACCACAACGGTCTTCTTCTCGGCAGGGACCGGAGACCACCAGGACCCAGGAGGGCCCAACCGATGAGAAACACACGTGCCGCCTCCCTCAGGGTTGGTCCTGCTCATCAAGGCAACGGCTCCGTCCCCGCCCGGCTGGGTCGGGGACCCCACGATGCCTCAGCCCGCAGCACAGAAGCCCATCCCACAGGAGTGACGGTGACCTTACAGCCCAGCAGCTCCCGCATCCAACAGGAGAAAACGACACCTCTCCTCACAGTGCCACGCGGGAAGGATCTGGAGAGCCCCACAGTCCGTGACCCTCAATGGACTCCTGGCTGGGCCCCACCGAGAGGGGAGCCGTGGACAAGCAGCTGAGCACCGCAGGGCAGGGAGGTGGGTGGGGGGTGGGGTGTGGGTTGTGGGGGCTGGGGGGTGGGGGCGGTGCCCGCGGGAGGCGGGGGGGGGGGGCAGGACTGCGGGCGGCTGGCGCGTGTGGACCAGCGCATCGCGGGACACACACGTGGAAGGATGGCGGGCGGGGACGGTGGCGGTGGAGGGGACAGGAAGGTGCAGCCTCGGCCGCCCCGCGCGCGCTCCCCGACGCAGATCCCGGGAAACTCCCGCCCGGAGGTACCGTCCGCGGGCGCGGCGCGTCCTGGCTCCTTGTGAGCGGGGCGAGTCGCGGGCGCGGTGGGACGGCCCGGCTGCGGCCACCGGGAAGGACGGTCGTCCGCCTCGGGGAACCGGGACCGGTGACAGGTAGCCGCGCCCGCAAGCGCTGACGCTCCTTATTTCCGGGGTGAACGCATGCACGTCCACACGTACGCACGCACGCACGCACGCAGGCACGTAGACACGCACTTACGAACAATCGCGCATTTGCCGCAGGCTCCGGCCGCTAGGAGACAGAGTAGGAGCCGCCAGGCCATGCGGCGCGCGGAAGGCCAGGCCGCTCGGAGGTTCGAGACCGGCGGCGTGGAGCGGCACCCAGAGGAGGACCAGGAAGTGGGCGGGGGAGCGGGTCGGAAGAGAAGGGGCGGGGCTGTGGCGAATAGCTGGGGAGGAGCTGGGGGAGGGGCAGGGCGGAGGTGGGAGGAACGGGGGGAGGAGTATTTGGGGCGGAAGTGTGGGAAAGAGCTGGGTGAGGAGGAGCTTCTGGAGAAGGAGGCAGAACTGAGGAGGAGTGGGGCCGAGCTGGGGAAAAAGCCGGGCAGGTGCGGGGCGGGGGCGGAGCTGACCGGGATGGAGCTTGGGCCCCTGGGAACCCATGGAGGGTGGGCGAGGCCAGCTCAGTGGCGGAGGCCAGGCAGTGCCCTTTTGAGTCCCTTGCCTTAGGCGTCCAGTCCGCGCCGCAACAGTCGGCAAGGGTCAAAGTGGAAGCGACCCAGGGTCCTTAGCGACCGAATCCGAGCCTCAGAATGGACCCCAGGGGACAGGGATGCGGGGTGGGGGGGGGGGGGGGGGGGGGGTCAGAGGGGAGGGGGAGGGGAGGGAGGGGGAGAGGGCGGGGCCTCTGGGCTGAGTCTTGCACCTCTGGGCTGAATGCCCAGGCCACCTCCCGTCTAAGCCACCCTGCGACTGCTGGCCGAGTCCTGAGGGACAGTCTTTATCTGGCCTTTTCTGAGGTGAGAAGAAAATTTCTCAGTCGGTTTCCTGTCGCGCCTGGGACCTGGCATGTCCCAAACAAAGCCAAGTTCCCCTTCAGAGCTGTTTCCTGTCCTCTTCCTCCCAGTGGGGGGACGGGGGTGCGGGGCCTCAGCCCACTCAGTGCCGCCCACCTGGCTCTGCTCCTCCTTGCTTTGCTTAGGCAGCCCTCCCTCCCATTTCCTTGGTGACCAAGTCCGGTGTCCCTGCCTCCCAAGTGCCTGATGAGAATAGATGCTCCTCTTTGTGTCCCCACTGCTACTGGCTGACTTCAGGCCTCATGACCTAGGGCCGGTGCTGCTGTCACCTGAGTCTCCCCAGCGGCCGGGACGCCTCCTGTCTGTCCTCCTCCAGTGGGTGCCCCACAGGCCATCGGTTCCGTGTCACACCGCACATCTGTCCTCATCGACCCCGGGCTGAAGACCCTGCCGAGCCCTCTCCTGTTTAAGCCCCAACACCTCCTTGGTGCCCTGGGAGGGCCTTCGGGCGGCCCCAGCTCTCCGTCCTTGTCGCCCAACACCCTGGGTGCCTGTGCTGTCCGTGCACGCTGCGCGCACGCGCTCTGCGGGTCTCTACACTTCGGCACGTGCGGTTCCCGCTCCTGGAGCCCTGGTTCCTCTTGTCCTGGCGAGCTCCTGTCCTCCTCCCAGGCACAGCTGTAACGTCCCCTTCTCCGCCCGCCGCGAGCGTCAGGAGCTCCCGTCTGGGGTTCTGGCAGCGCCCTGTGCCTTCCTGCTGCCTGCCTTTGCTGGGCTCTTCTTCCCGGGCTGGAGCTGCTCTCCAGGAGTCCCGGGAAGACAAGGACAAGCTCTTACTCGTTCCTGTAAGGCGGGCGCCTGCCACAGCTGCTGCTGAGGGGACGTTGGCTCAACAGAGCACTGCTTTCTCTTCCAGCGAGCTGGCCTCCTCTGTCCTTGCGGAAGCCTGAGGAAACAGGAATGCCGGCCCCGAGGTGAGGAGCAGAGGGTGCCTTCGTGGATGTGAGGCCTCGGGGCTGCGGGGCACCTGAGCGATCAGCAGGTCCAACTCCCTCCATGCCGGTGTCCCCTCCTCGGCTCGTCACCCCAGGAGTGGTTGCGAGCTGCGTCCAGACACCCCAGCACCTCGTCGGAGTGGTTTCAAATCATGAGGGAGGGTCCCGGGAATGGTGGGTGGGCTGCCGGCGTTGCTCCCGAATCCCGGTTTTGAAGAACTGGAACTTGCCCAGTGAGCTAGAGGCCCGTGATCGGTGGCTGCTGGTTGGGGGACAGCTGTGACGGCGCTCCGTAAGGACTCCCTTCTCTGACCCTCCCGTGTGTGCTGAGAGGCGGGGAGCCCCAGGTCCCCCGGGGCGGGGGAGGTCCGGGGTAGTGGCTGCCAGGCCAGTTCGCTGCCGGATGGGCGGGCGCAGGAGGAATGGCCTGGCCGTGTTGCAGGTGGGCGTGGGACGGTGTGTGGCTGCCCCCGGGAGAGGGACCCCTCTGCCGCTCAGCCTTGATCTTCAGTACAGCTAAGTCAGCGCCGAGCCTTCAAACCATCTGATTTCTGACTTCCCGGTGACGCTTTCTCCACCTGCTGCTTCCCACACCCTCCAGGAGCAAGGTCCCGGCAGGAACAGGCCTTCTCTCCCTCCTGTCTGCTCACTTGGGGGTCAGCCGGGCCTCCAGCCTGGCCGCTCCCGCCTTCCGCTGCTCGGGCTGCTGCTTCCTCCCAGCCCCTGTGACTGGGCCGCAGCCCACATCCCAGGAGGGAGTCTCCTCCCCAAGCTCCGCTTCCTCCCCCGACACGCTTCTGTCCCCGTGAGGCACCCCATCTTCCTTCTAGGAAGTCCTCGTCGTTTGCGCCACTGCTCTTTGGGGGGCGGTGCCCCCAGGACATCGTCTCCTCTCGGAGCCCAGGGCACCTGCTCTGAGTGCACTTCCCCTTCTGACCCCCGCCCGTGGCACCAGCAGACCTCACTGTCCCTGCGACCCATCTGGGCACTTGCCTCGGCGGCTGCGTCCCCTTCTCGGCCCCGGTGGCCTGGGTGCCTCCAGCCCCCCACCCCAACTGCGTCTTTGAGGCCCGGAGAGGGTTCCAGTTTGCTCCTGCCGCACGTTTGGGGGTACCACCGGTGTGGGACGGGCTCGACCCAAAGTCTCAGTTTCCCTAGTGTCCTCCTTGGTAGGGCTGGTTTCCTCTCTGCAACACCTTTTGCCCATCTTTCCACTGAGCTGCGTGTCCTTTTTGTGCCGAGTCGTGGGAGCTCCTTTCGGGGTCCGGGTACTAGTCCCGCCCTGGTTGTTTGTGTTTCAGATGCCTCCTCCTGCCCCTTGGGGGCTGGTTTCCTCCTCTCTTTGAAGGGCAGCTTTGGACTCGGCATGCGCCTACACCCTCTCCGACCTGTAAGTGCCCCACACGTCGGGGCGTGTCCCGCCGGCCCACTCCCAGGCCCGCCCCCTGGGGCTGGTGGTCCCCGAGGAGCCGGTGCCCTGGCGTCCAGCGCTCTGCCCGTGAGAAAGGGCTCCTTCTTGACTGGGTAAGTCACTCGGTCAGTGCCTGGCTTTAGTCCCTGCCCTGGACTCACGCAGGGCAAGCCCCGGGGCAGCCGTGCAGCTGCAGGAAGACAGCCGGCCTTGTTTTCTCTGCCCCAGCTCCCGGTTTACCTCCTGCCGCCCCACATCTGGCCTGTTTCTAAGACGTGCTCCCCTGCCCCCTCCTTCCCCTCTGTCCCCTGGGCAGCTCCTGTTGGCCGTGTCCCTCTCCACACGGCCCAGATCGAGGGGTCCAGCCTGAGAACCGCAGGTGTTTCTGACTCTGTCTCAGTGACTGGCGCTGCAGGACCTCGGGAAGAAGCTGCGCGCAGGGGACCTGCAGACGTGAGCAGCCACTTGGCCGCCGCTGCTCGGGTCGGCGCCTGCGCAGGGAACGTGGCGCAGCACAGGGGGCCTCCTGTGCGCTTCTGGCGATGCCCCCACTTGCATTCACGTTACAGACGGTTATATCGCCTTTGGCTGGGGGCGGGAGATGCTCGTCTCCAGGTCTGCGGCACTCCTGAGCTCTTGGGTCTACGTGCTCTTCAGCGTCCTCAGTCTCTGGGCAACGACCCGGGCCCCAGGCCCTCCGCAGCTGGAGGGGGCCTTCCCGACATCAGGCCGTGGCCCAGTGAATGGGGCCAGCTTCCTTGTTTGAGAGATTCAGGAGTGGGGCCGGGGTGCGGGGGTGGGAGTCTGGAGCGAGCGTTGCCATCCCGTAACCGTGGTCACAGGGCTTGGATGACAGGACTGCTGTGCTCTGTGCCTGTAGGGCCCGTTCAGCCGCCTCCTGAGTATCCCTGTGCTCTCCGTGGCGACTTTACAAAGGACAGAGAGGATGTGAAGAGTCAGGAGCAAGGGACGCCCATAAGGCATCGCCTGGAGGCAGGAAGGTTCGCGAGTGCACGACTGGGGCGTGTTTCCCCTGCTCCTTCTCTACACGTTTCTCCTTTACTCGCTGGAGTGCGTGCAGGGTTGCCATTGGGCCTTACATCCTCTCACTCCCGTTAAGGGTCATCCCAGGTTCTGAAGGATTCCTCGGCAGACATCTCACTAAGCCCTGCGCCTGGTTCCGGAGGATACTGGATTGCAGCCTCTCCCTGCTGAAGACCAACTGACAAACCCTCGGGAATGGCCCTGCGTACCTGGGACCAGTGACAGCCTCTGCTCAGAAACCCCAGCCCAGGGGTCCTCCTGAAGCGGCCGCAGAGACAGAGTTTATCGCGTCTCCCACATCAGGGTCAAGCTGGGCCCGGTGTCCACCAGCCTCCAGCTGTCTGGTTGTCCCGCTTCCCGGTGTTGGGTCACCCAGCGCGGAGCCCGAGGTCCCTTTGGGAGGGGCTGGGGGGTCATTCCAGTGCCTGCTTGCTGTGGTGCTGCAGCGTCCTTCCCGCTGGGGACCCGCCATGTCCCTGGTCCGCGGTTCCACGTCTGAGAACTGGCTCGGGGGCAGAACCTGGGCGAGGGATCGTGACTTGTTCACTGGGGCGGCTGCCCTCGGCCTCCTGCCGTCCGTCCTTGCTCTTTTGAGTGTCCGTCTTAGACTGTATCTTGGTTGGTTGCCCATCCATCGAGCCCCCGGGAAGCCGTATTGTACTGACCACCTGCCCCGCTCGGTGGGTCAGGCCTCCTGGTCAGTGGCGGCCATCGTCATAGCCCCTGGTTTCTGGCCGCTCAGTGGCGCCCCACGACCTCTGCTGCGGTCCCTGGGCGGCGGGGGAGGGCAGGGGCTCGTCCCTTTCCTCCCTCACCTGGCCTGGCGCGCCCGGCCTGTGTTGTGAGGTGACTTCGCTCTGCTTGGGGGCCTGGCAGTGGGCTGACCACCTCTCCCCATTTTTCCTGCACTCTCCTGCTTGTAGCGCTTCAGGTCCCACAGCAAATCGGGGCGGCTGGCTAGCCTGTCTCCTGGGACGGAGGGCACCTGTGGGGAAGGACGCGGGTCATGTTTGCTCCCTCGGGGGTGAGTTGGGGACGCCAGCTCTTTAGGGGGAGGGGTGTGCCGCTGCCTCAGGCTCAGAAGCTCAGAGACGTCTGGGGAGCCCCGCTCTTCTGGGGCTTCCTCCCAGTCTCCCTGGTCCTCGTGTCAAGGATGCGGGTTTGCCCAGGTGGGCTTCCGACGCTGGCGGGACGGGCGTGCCTTGGTTGAACATCAGCGTCTTTGAGGTTCAGCCACTTCTGTCGAATCCTGGGTTGGACGATTGTCCGCTGCCTGAGACGGGGGCTCCTTTGTAAGGTACTGGGGAGACCCTGGGGCCCCCTTTTTTCTCACTTTGCTCTTCACCCTAAGCTGCTCATCCCCTATGGTCGGCAAAGCAAAGAAGTCACCTCCCCCTGTGCCCCCCGCGTTCCGCACGCTTGGATCTTCTCACCTGCCAGGACGTTCCTCTCCCCCTGCCAGCCCAGCGAAAATTCTAGCATGAAAGTTCTAGCAACTGGGCCGTGGCCTTGCGGCCGGGGCTGTCCGCCCGCACACCACCCATCGCCGGGGTGGGGTCCTCATTGCCAGTGAGGCGGGTGATGACAATCCCGTACCAAGACCCCATCTCATCACCTGCTCCTTGGACCACTCCAGGGCCGGCCGGCTCGGGTTGCGTCCCTCGGGAAGCTGATCCCGGGAGAGAGTTAGTGCCAAAGGCTGGCTGGGGACTCACACCCACTAAGGGGACAGGGAGCAAGCGGGGTTGGGCAGGGTGTCCCTTCAACCTGCGATGTCGACCTGACAGTTTCTGCCAGCCCGTCGGGGAGCTGCAGAGCACGGACGGGCATTAGAGGTCCCCGCAGTGGGCCCCCGTGGTCAGGCCCTCGCAGCGCCCGAGGCCTTGCGATCCACATCGACTGACCGGGAGAACCAACACCCAGAAGGGGTGCCCGAGGGGTGGCTGCGTGCGCGCACGGGGCGCCAGCTGCCTTTGCCCGGGCAGCACCTTGCTCTGCCCTGCGGCCGGCCTGGTGGGAGGTGCTTTGGCTTCTTGTGCATCAGACGACCGCTGGGTTGGGCAGGGGACGTGCTTCCAGGGCGTTGGCTGACTGGCCATCTGTCAGCGTCATCGGTGTCAGCGCAGCTTGATGGGAGAGGGCAGATCTGGGTACCAGGCGTCAGAAGGCAAAGCCCATTTAAGTCCGCAGACGTCCGTCCTGTGAGAGGGTCCTGGACTGTGCAGGGACACAGGTGTCCACTCGCCCTTGGGTTACTCAGGGCTGGTGGGGGAGGGGCATCTTCCAGGCAGACCTGTAAAGCACAGAGTCTGAACCGAGGCGGAAGGAGGGCAACGTGAAGAGCGGGGAAGCCCTGACTCAGAGCCAGGGGCTGCGGAGGGCTTCAGAGACGAGGGCCGTCTGGGCTGGGTCTTGAAGTGAGAAGGGTCTCCTTAGCTGGGAGATGGGGGACGGGCCCCCTGGAAGGGCCAGACACGTTCAGGGGACTGAGTCCAGGTGTGTGGCTGGAGCAGATGAGTTTGTGGAGGGCCCCAGCCTGACACCATCAATTCAGGTCCTCTGAGCGATTGTTGGCATGGGAGTTTTAGAGATTTTGATGTGCTGTGAAGTTTCATTCATTGCCTGTAGAGGGAAGTGTGTGTGCAGAGCTACCCAGGTAGGCTGGGCAGGCTCCTGTCGTCCACAGGGAGCAGCGTGGGAGGAAGCACAAGCTCTGCTCTGCCGTCACAAACCTGCGATTGATCCCCGGCCCCACCACTGCTGGAGTGTGAGTCTAAGCAAATCACTTTACCTCTGTGAGTCTTGACTTCCTCGTCTAAAGGACGGGCATAATGTGAAAGTCTCCCCATAAGGACTAATTTTTTAAATTCTGTCTGGTGGGGGTGAGGATGACACGGGATGATTCACATGAGAGCAATCTGTAAACCAGAAAGCACCTACTACGAATAGTGTTTGAAGAGACGTCTCTGTTTTCCCAAGAAGGATTTGCCAGGCTAGAAAGAGTGTGGGAAAGCAGGCCTGTGCCTTGAAACCTGCAGCTGGGAGACAGGCAGACACTGAAAAGCCTCCAGCTTGGAATGGAGGAAGAGAACAGTGACTATCGGACTCCAGTCCCAAAGGTCCTACAGGATATGGCCTGGGGACTTGGGGGCCATGGGTAGGTTTTGACCAAAGATGTATAGTGGCCCCTGGACACAATAGGAGGCAGCGTGAACTGAGTCAATCCGACAGGGTTTGAGAATTAGGGGCTGTAGCAGCGCCAGGAATCACTGAAGCTAGGAGCTTCCCTGAACTGTGTGGGAGTTGATGTCAGCCTGCTGCCTCGGGAAATACGGGTCTGTGATTTGCTCTCCACGATTCCATCAGCCATGATGCTTTGGCAACCAAAAGTGTTTTCACCAGCTTGACCTAAACCCTTTTGGTGGTAAAACCAAAAATGGATGATGCCACAAAGCTATTTATAGCATCCTGAATTTTTCTTTATTTATCCCATTTGGTGTTAAGAGTCATGTGGTTCACTGCAGAGAAGTCAGCGTGTTTGCTAGACCCTGCCAGGGTGTCACTGATATATGCTCTGTGTCCCCATCATCTTCATGAATCCTGAAACTCACGTGGCCCCCAAGGCTTTTGGACGAAGCGTTGTGCACATGTGATATTACCACCAGTAAGAACCAACATTTTGACAGAGGCCCAGGGTTCCTGGGTGTGTGACCTTCCTCCAGCCTTCGGCCAGCAGGGATGCCCTCCCTGGGACAGGCAGGACTGAGGCCCAAGCCCCAGGTCAACCTAGATGACTAGATACCCCACCATCTGTCAAACTGCATCAGGATGTGGAATCTCGTTTGGCACCAACCACGGTCTTCCATGGGAGAAATGGGATGAACCTAGAGCTAAAAAGAGGAAGCGTTCTTGGAAAGCGTGTTTGTCCACTAGTTGTTTATATCTCTGAAAACCTGTCCACTGTCTTGTTTCAGGAAATCCCGAGCGCTGTGCCATCTCCCAGTGCTGTCCCACAAAGCCTGCGTCCCCCACACAATTCTGGTGTGTTTTGTGCTTTAGGAGTCTCTGATTTTGAGAGCTCGGTGATGACACGGAGCTCGGCAGCATCAGGCTCACCCAGTTGCCTTGCTTTCATAGCACACTTCCCAAGAGCCCAGGGGGAAATGCAGCTGGAGGGAAAGGGCGCTGTGCTGCCACAGGTGCTAGTTGCTCTGCTGGGTGGCCCCCTCTGTCCCTGAGAAGCCTGTCTGTTAACTTTGGACAGGATGGAAAGATGCCTTCAGGGAGTAGCACCGACGTCTCACTTGCTCCATGCTTAGTAACTAATTATATTATTAGGATTAACCTGGACCCTAAATTGCAAAGTCCATGTTTTCCCTGAGCAAAATTGAGGTTTTCTGCCAGCCAATGATCTGGAAGCTCTCTCTTGCCTGCCCACCCCTGCTTCTGTGCCTTGGTGACTCTCCATGTACCCTGGTTGCCCATGAGGATGCATGGTGGTCAGCCTCACACACAGGGCTGAGCGGCCCAGACCAATGCCCTGGGCTGGGTTTGTCCTTGGCACCGTGGCCATCATGGCTCAGAGGCTATTTAGGGTTTAAGTTCCAGCTCTGCTGGCGGTGAGATCTTGAGCCAGTGCTGACCCTTCTCCAGCCTCAGTTTGCACATCTGTATGCTGGGCGTAGTAACAGTGCACAGTCCCTGAGGCAGCAGGGAGGATTCCATGAGTTGAAAGGCTGGAATGAATTTGGTGCACAAAGATGTTATGGGGAAGAGAAGCAGGAAAATTATGTTGGGGTCTTTTGCCTGCCTTTGGGCCCCACCACCGGCTGACAATTGCAGAAAAAGTGCTCAATGCTACCTTGCCTCCAGCCTGTTGTCGTGTCCCTCTGGGGTTCTGAGAACTGGTTCTTTAAGCAGCTTGTTGTTGACGTAGAAGACAAGTTACACTGGAAATGCGAAACCAGAGTTGCTCTGCTCAAAGTGCCAGGAACAAGGCACCAGGAAGATGCCCCACTTGCTCCCTGGAGCCTGTCAGGCAACTGGGTGGGTATCACCTGAGTAAGGCTGAAGTCCCCTGTGCCACAGGCTGCGGCTTCAGAACTGGAAGCATTTCACTGGCCCAGCTGGCATTTCTCTGAAGTTCACGAGCCATGGTGTGGGACTCAGGAGGGCCAGCAGTCGCTGCAGCTGTGCCCCAGTGAGGCTAGAGCTGGGGCAGGCCACGTAGGGCAGGATCTGGAACTCCACTGGCAGAACCTGCTACCCACAGCCCCAGATTATTGAGTACCTGCTGGACACTGGGAACAGACCCCTAGGCAGTCTCTTTGTGGGAATTCACATTTCCTGATGCGGCCAAGGGAAGTTTAGCAGCGGGTCAGGACCACCCTGTGGAGCTAGGATTGAAATTACATCTGTCTGAAGGCAGAGCCCATGCTCATTTAATTGCCCCATCATGTGACCACTCCACGTGCCACCACTCAGAGAGGTGGGGGCCACGTGGCCCGCTGGAGGCCAGCAAGCTGTCGGGGGCAGTGACGTTGGGCAGCTGGTGGTTTCTGCCGGGGTACAAGGTGAAGGCTAGGACCGGGAGTTTCAAGCTTTTTCTCCTACCCAGGGTTCAAAGGCAACACTTGGGCTCCAAAATTCAATGGAGAGAAATTCCAGCTTTAAGGACTTTTGCAAGCTGTGGTTTGCCTGTGAACACATGTCCTTTAGCAAGAATCCCCTCTGTTATGCCTTCCACCCAAGTGTTTTTATTGGTCCCTTAGAGACTCTTACAGAAGTTTCCCATATTGATAGACTTTTAAATGATGTTACAGAAATATCACATCACACGGATTACATAAGGGGTGACGTCCACTGCTTCCCAAATGCCACATTTCTTCAAGTAAAATGCAGATGACAGCCTGCAGTGTATAAGGAAATGACATCCTAGTAAAGGCAGAATTGAAATTCTCATCCCTTTTACTTATTTTAAAATTATTAGTGCCATCTAAAATGAGGGCTTCCTTTTCCTCACCAAGCCTGTGCTCCCCTTGCTACCTTTCTGGTATAAACTACTAACTGCGTGAGGACACCTGTCTGATGAGGCACATGCTAATTCGCTGTACCACCAAAGATTCCTTCCACACTTCTGTTCCTCCCCGCCCCTGAAAAGGGCCTCGTTTCGGACCATCTTTAGCTATTCCTTCTGTAGATGGACCCATTCGCGCCTGAGGTGTGTTTCATGGCACAAGTATGAGAGGGGCCCCAGAGGAATGTCACCCAAGCCTTACGCTGTTTCCCAGCTCCACTTGTCCCCTGGATTTGACTGCAGAAGTGCAGAGGGAGAGGGGGTTGCCCTGGCCATCCAGCTGTGGGCTCCCCTTCGCAAGAAACACCCGATTGTCGGAGTATAAGAGCACAGGTGTGCGATGCCAGACAGGCTTGGGGCTGGCTCGCAGCCCCTCCCCTCACACAGGAAGCCCCCCAGCTGTGAGAGTCCTCCTTGAGGTCTCATTATTTCCCTTCCCTGAGGCTCTTAAGTCTGGGGGAGTAAGCCGAAATCCTCCCTAGATGGAAGAGGAACGGGGAAAACCAGGAGGAAGGGGGTGACCAAATGTAACCTCCTCAATTTGGATGCATGCAGCTCAAATAGGAGGGAAAAAAAAGATCTGGCTAGGCATTTGTAGTTTGTTTTAAGTGTATGCTTCATCTATATATTATTTTAAGGACATGAATCACCAATGAAGTAGCGCCAGCGAACACCAGCGCTTGGGCGGGCCCTGCTGGAGGCTTTTAGAAATTCTGTACTTCCTGGCTCTGACAGCCCTAGAGTTGCCTGCTCCAAGCTACAGGCCTGTCCTCCCATCCAGAGCCATGCTCGCTGAGTCAATGAATGGCAGGATGGAAAAGTCTGGGCTTGAAGAGAAAATGAAGGAAAAAGAGAGTAGAGAGAAGGGAAAGGAAAGATTGTTCATGGGATGATGCAAGATGTCCAGAGACAAATGGGCCTGGGACCAACCTCTTCCACAATGAGAGAATCATCTCACCTTACAAAGTCCTTGACTTAGGGCAGGAGCTCAGCAAATGTCAATGCTGCAGTGATGCCCAGTCCCTCTTCTGCCCCCTCATGTTCCATAAGGCTTTACTTCAACAGAATCAGATTCTGGTTGTGATCCAATTCACCTTCACTCCCCCGGGAGTTCCCAGCTAGAAACCAGGCTATTCCTGCTGTATCATCAACCTTGGGGCAGCCCAGACCCAGCTCCATCCACCTGGCCCTCCCCAGGCAGTTAGAGGACAATCCAGCACATCTTGAGGTAGCCATTTCCGGGAACAGGGCCCTCGGTATCCAGCACATGTGGTGGCAATCGCAGCCCACATCAGGTTCCTTTTCAGGTTCAGTTCACATGCCCACAGAGACAAGGGTGATGCCTGCCTTTCTGTGCAGGGTGAGCTCTGCCTTCTCATCCAAGTAATTCTGGTCATGTGTGTCATCCCAGTGATCCCTCAAAACCCAACAAATAGTGCCAGCCCTGCGGATACAGCAGTGAATGGAAGGGGCAGAGCCTGCCCTCGAGGAGTGCCCGTCCGAGGATCCCAGATCTGGAATGAAACAAGCCTTGAATTCTCCCCTGAGTCCTCATCCTTTTGCTGTGGCAGGGGATTGTGGAATATTGACCAATAGACCAATATGTTCTGCTCTCACTGCCTGAGAGCGCCTGTGAGAGGGCCACCCGGCAAGGAACTGTAAATGGTCTCTAGGAGCTGAGAGCGGCCCTG